AGTTAAAAAATGCTGAAATAACAAGGTATAAGGTAGTATTTCACAGAAAAAAGTTTGGTTTTATACTAAAAAATGCTAATCTAGTACAAAACACTGAATTATTAAAGTACCAGAATATGCACAAACATTTTTCTAAAGCATGCTTAAACACCACCAAAGATCTAATGTGTATTTGTTAGTTGAAGTGATATACATTTGACAGTGAAATATTCAAGCATTAAAGTTCACTAACTGTATGGACTTGTGCAACATTAAACTGTAAAGCCTTCTTCTAAATGCTTAGAAATTTCCATAATTTACCTGCTGTCCAAAATTTTCTACATCTAACCAGAGCTGAAGATGAATTTTGTCATCATCTGATACTCCACTGCTGTTGTTACGACTCTCACCAGCTCCCTTGTCTCTAATTCTCTTTAGTTGCTTGAGGCTTTTATCCATTTTTCTTAATGTATCCAAGACATCACTTGTTAATTTGAAGTACCTAAACAAAAAGATCAAATTCAATAAATAAATAGTATTTATCTATTTTTTAATGTAGTAGCTTCAGAAAATATTCATCTACTGGGTTATTTATTGCAATATGCTTAACATTTTCTTTACAATTTCCTTGCAATTAAATTTATAGCAACATTTTGTGATCAACATTATTGAAAATAAAATAAAATCGTAAGTTAAACTCACTAAAAATTATTTAAAAATGCATTAAAATAAAATATTTCTTAAGTTCTAAGAATGTTTTCAGTTATTATTATCAAGAAAAAAATATTTTTACATATCCCAGTTGACAAATGAACCAATACCATTTCCAAGAACAAAGAAAATGTTTTAAAGATATATGTTCCATGCCAGAGTTTTAACAACTTGCATTGATGATTACAGAACATAGAAGTAATATTTCAAAGCATTTTTGTTACACTGTTAAAGAACATACAGAAAAAAAGTGGGATTACAGAAGCAATTCTTAAAAAGTTTAATAAGTAAAGAAAGATATGAATGTTGATGTGGTATCAAAAGATGTGTAAATATCAAGTGAACTACATCAGCAGCATATTTATGTTTACACAGTTTCGCTTTAAAGGTGTTTTTCTGAGAAAAAACATGTTGTCTGATGTCATACTTTTTAAGCAATTGCAAAATTCTTGCACACACGCAGTTGGAAATCTTGTATAGACTAAGCTATAAACCACCTGAAAAAGGACCTTACATGTCACAGACTGTAGCATCATTGTAATACCTTATGATACTAACCCTCACTGAGCCTTTATTGAGTAATTATGAGCACAGCTGCATGAAACAAAGAGGGATATAGCAAAGCTTTTTCGTTTTTTAAAAGCATTTGAAAAAAAAAAAGGTTATTAATAAAATTTATTCACTGACATCTAGTAAAATACAGTAAGGAAAATGGTTCTTTTTTTATCAAAGCATTCCTTTTGGAATTACAAAACTTAAACATCACTTTCATAATAAAAAGTATATTGTACATAATGCCTTGACATATTATAAAACATGATATTTTCTTATTATCACACAAACACAGAGAAAATTAGTTTTGCCTTTTACAACAGTTTTTTCAGATTAATAAACATTTTTTCTCATGTACTGAAGTCAAACTGAATCTTGTTCTTGATGTCAAGCTGAATATTGTCCTTGATGTCAAACCAAATATGGTCCTTGATCATAAACTAAATATTGTTAAAATTTTTTATCTAAAATCCAATGCGTCACTAAGTTTAAAAACTTCAGTCATAATAATGTTACACACTCTTATGTAATCTACAATAACAAAGTGCTATATATTTTATAGATAAACCAATAACTAATTTGAGTTCACTGAGTATAATGTTAACTTGTGAAAAATAAGGAGGATATTAGCCTTTTAATTGTAGCACTAATTCATTAATATTTGGTTTAAAGACAAGAAACCTTACTGTGATGATATTTGAGAAAGTAAGAGCTTACTTAGTTGTCAGTTTGTCAAGGATAGCCTTTGTCCATTCAGTTAGCCATGAACTAGTCAGAATATCCTTGTTGTCGTTCTGAAATGTCTCCAAAGGTCTTAATACCATCTGAACATAGGTAGAAGGTTTGGTTGGCACCTAAAAAGCATAAGATGCCAAACTGTAGAAATCATGCAAACAAAGGTCAAATAGTTTGAAGAACAGTTATATCCTATACTTCTCACTATCCTAGAAAATAAGTGTGGTAGCAAGCACTGAGTGGACTTAAATTCCATAATTAAGAAATATTGAATTCTTACTATGTTTACTACAGTGTATTTTTATGTCACACACATTAACTTTTTGCCAAGTCTTTGTAATATTCTCTCAGCAACTTCAGTTTTTGTGTATGATATTATGATAAATCCCATTTTAGTCTAAACCATCACGTACTGAGAAGCATCAGTTTCATACTTGTCAATGTAGCATACACGTTCAAGCAACTTACTTGAACAAAGAGTGATGTTGTGTGACACTCCAACAATGTTCGATTTCCCAAGATTAAAATTAAATTATCATTTATCAATTGGCATTATTTTGCATTTAACATATACGTGGCAAAATAATTTTTCTAAATGAAATGTCACTTCAAGCTCTATCTAAAAATGTGCATCTACCATATACTTCCTATCTCTTCAAGAAATGCAGCTACTTCTAACAACTATGAAGTCTTAATTACATTATGATTTTAACTTAAATTTGACACTACCTCTCATTTCATTTTAGTACTACATTTACTTTTAACTGCTCATGGAGGGTTTAATAATATTCTGAATATCATAGTAACTACTTCAAATATAGTTGACAATTATCATAATCTATCTTTATATTACTAAAGAAAAATTTATCTTATATAGAAAGAAACATTCTACATCTAAGCTTTAAATTTTCAGTTTCAACAATGCTGATGATACTCTGGTTATTTCTGATGCTAATTTATGAGCAACACCATTTTCTGTTTCAGTAACTTGTGTTATGTAACTCCTTTTCATGATAAAGAAGACCTACTTTGTCCAACAGTGAAAACAAGAAGCTATCATCTTATTACAGTAACAACCAAAATTATTTAACTACACCCACACTTGGATCAATCTGCTTACAAAGTGAACAAATCTCTGTAGTCAAATTTATGCAATACACTCAAGTTACAGGTGTCATTAAGTACCGCAACATTTTCTAGCTAAGATATATTATCAAACCAGTCACAATGAAATAATATTCACGATCAGCAAATTATTAGCATAAAAAGACTGGATATTCAAAGCAGTTATAAACAATAAACCTAGGTACTGATAATAGATCAGATATACATGTATTATTTTTTTACTTTAAAAAACGTTCTTCATATACTTAAATTTTAATACCTCCTGAGAAAAGTTACTCATAGCTATAACGTCCAATGAAGTGAAACACAGTAAAAAATTTGTGAATTTGTTTAACTTCTGAAATAATCAAATGATTATTATGCTATAACAAGACCATATTGTGAGGTTACACTAGTCCATCTGCATGGCTCAACCCCAAAAGACTACCATGAGCTCAACAAACTTGACATCCTCCTTTCAGAACAAAATTATTTTCAACTTTTTTTTATTGCCTATATACATTTTTAAATGTGTATGTAAAATCAGACACAAAAATGTTTAGTATAAATTTACTTATCTAACCTATCTTAACTGATATAACACAAAAATGCAGTTCTTAGCTAGTCACATACAGGATATGTGGTACTTATTGTCAGCTAACATTACACTCAAGATACAATACGTAGTAAGATAAAAGTTAAATGAGATTCAAAAATCCAAAAACAAATTAAAAATACTGTTAGATAATTAAGTTTACCTTTAACAATCTTAGTACAAAAGCTAAATATTAGGATAGCTTGTTTGTTTTTTAGAATTTTTTTAGCACAGCTGTCCCTGATTTTCAACTGACAGACAAAAGGGAGGGCAGCTAGTCAATAGCCATCACTATCTACTCTTTAGCTGCTCTTGTGTGACTGAATAATGGAAGTTTACCATCATCTTACAGTGTGCCCACAGCCTCAATGTGAGAATCACACTTCTGTGGCAATAGACAATGAACCATGAACCCTCAGATTACCATGCTAAGACAGCCTGTTCCATTTTATAGTTGTAAGAGTAATGAAATGTCATTATAAAATCAGACATACATAGACACGTAAAAATTAATTGACCCTGATATAAAAGTAACATACATCTCTATTTGTTTTCCTGTAAAGTCTTGGAATTTCACTGACCATACGAAGATGTTGGAGACATTGAAACACAATATCATTCACGACTAGTTCCCCAATCTTAGGTGGGAGTTCTTTAAGCTGTTCAGTTGTTTCTTTTATAGTTTCTGCAGAAAATAATTAAAAAAAACAAAAACATAAAAACGTATAGTAAGAAATTATCGAAAGGAGAAATTTAACATCTTTTAAAGAGTGACTTATACACATTACACTCAAGACCAAAACAATGAACTTGCAATACAAATGTAAATAAAATGTTATAATACGATAATATTTATTAAGTTTTAATACTTTTATTGATAACAAAACTGATACTCAATTGTGAAACACAAATAATTACAATATTAATCTATATAGGTAATTCACACTGTTTATTTGTGTTTGACTCTGAACAATATAATTCAATTTTACCTTGCAGTTTTGTAACATTTAGAAGTCTATGATGTTGGAGATGTGGCAAAATTACATTGTCAAACAGTAAAGGCACCTGAAAAAAAAATTATGATACTGATATATTTTGTTTCCAATAGATAAATTAACTTGGAAGAAGGATTAAAATTTAAAAACATTAATCTGGCATCTTGAGGATTTATAATATATAAAACTTGAAAAACAAGATTATTTTAACTTGTGCATTGATATGATAGGTCACATTGATACAGGATCCTTGCCATAACAGTTTAAATGCTCTTTTCTATACTTGTCTGTAATCTTCTTTAACTGACTAGAGCTCCTGAAATTTTTTGAAATAGATTTCAAAGTGAACAACAGTTTATTTCACTATTTTTAATTCTGAGGTGTGTTTAGAAAATGTTCATAAGCTTTTATAAACATTTAGAAAAGAACTTTTAATTATTGAATGGACTATACTAAAACAATACTAAATAATAGTAATACCATAAAATGAATCATAATAGTGATAGATGTAAATTATTAAATGCTAAATAAATATTTAACACCAACTGAAACCAAACTTTGTATGCTACTTTTAATATTAACAAGCATAAACTTCCATTTATAAAAACAAAATTAACAGAATAAACACTTTGCATTAATAACAATTTAGTACCCCTAGATACTAGTGGCTTACACTCAGATTTATCATATCAGAAAATGCATACAGTGTCAGAGCTTTATTAGACAATATCAAATTAATAATTTTGTCATAACTGCAGAAGCAAGAAAACCTCCAAGATTTTTAGGATCCTTAAAAAATCTTTAATGGTCTCAATTCAAAAGACTAGCATACAGTTCCTTCTAAAATATTTCTAATACTTAGAAACTACTCTTCAACACATTATTTTACCCAGTGTCTATTGTTTCTCACAACATTTTGGAATATTTGTTAAAAAAAAAGTAACCTATATACTTATAAAATGTATCATAAGTTATTTTTTATTTATATCAAGAATAGTTTTAAGCACTTTTCAAGCATTGTAAGATGAGATGCCCAACACTCTGTATGAGCATGTCAAATAACTACAAATGTTACTGGTCCTCAACAGTTAAGGGTTTAACTCTATCATCACAGGGTCAGTTGGAGTGACTAAGTTCGTAATCATTTTGTACTCGTTATAGTTTTCATACAATAACTTTTAATACAGTATCTACACAAAATTTGGCAAACTTTCAGTAAACTAAAACCTCGTAACATGTACAGAAGAAGATGCCCGTGGTAAGAGGGATAAATGTGGCAGAAAAGATAATTCATCTAGTACGATGATTTAACGTCACTAAAGAACAACTTATTTCTCTAAGTGAAAAAGAAATTTTGACACTAGGCTGTAATAATGAGTTCATCTTGAAAAAGTTAAAAAAAAATTACATTTAAACTACAAATAAAAAAAAAGGCAATTAAAATAAATAATTCACATTTCAACTAGCTAGTTTCCAAATTTAGAATGATTACTTCCCTTTAATTTTCAGATCTCAGCCAAGTAATAAACACACACACACACACACACACACAAACTGTTTTGAAATACAATGAATTATACTTCTTTAAAAAGCAAATGAATCCAGAAAAAATGGCCACACGAAGATTATTAGAGCTTAAGAGTCACAATTTTATTTATTTTTGGATATTTTTCAGTAAACAACACATTATGAAATTTACACTAAATTTATGCATGTTTCAAAATGACAGCATATTTCTAAATGTTTTGAATATTCATCAATTCTGTAATTTTTTTTAACTGTAAAATCGTTTTTAAGAAACTACCATGATTTGCAATTTACATTTTCTCCAAAACATATCACATTAAAAAAAAAATCACAACTCAAATTGAGTTTCAGTAAAGGAAAAAATACCTAAACCTGGCAATACATCAGAATTTGCCTTTTGGGAAAATGAGAAAAAATCACTGGAAGACACACAAAAAACAAAACAAAGTAAAGATAAAATACTTTGAAAACAAAACTTGGTATATATACCTCATTTTGAACATGTACAATATCAGTGACTAGGAGAACTAATTTGGAGACCTCAAGTCTTCTGGAATCTGTAGAACCAGAATTAGGACCGTTCATAAGGTTTCTGCCATTTCTTGCATCTCCAGTTGAACTAGACGGGCCTATTTTCAAGTTCTCATCAGATAGTTTCAGTTCTTCTATAGCTGTGGAGTGCTAAAAATAAAACTACAATTTTAAATTTCATCTAGAGATGCTAACAAAAATGCTATAAAAAAATGTTCTTTTCATAATAGAAAAAAAAACTAGAAACAAAATTCACATAAAAATCATAGAAAAATAGACCACAGTGACATGAATGATACTACCACAATGTATATATAATTACTATATAGGAGGATTAAGTTAATAGTCTGAAATAGATAGATTATTAAAAAAAATCTAGTTTAATACATTGTGAAATATAGATCATAGTAGCAGGGTTTTTCATAAATTTCTTACAAAGATCTCACACCACTCAATCAAATCCATTCCATACCTTGAGAGCTATTAGAAGCCAGTTCTAATTTCTGGCTTCAATGGAACAAGCTAATTATAATGGTAATACATTCCCCTCAAATGGGTTGCCAGTCTATCATATACTGGATCCCAGCTACCTGCTGGTACCCCTTATATAGCTGGGTAGACTGAAACAATTGGGATAAGGTGCCTTACTCAAGGGCACAACAAAACATCATCATCAAGCCTCAAACACACAGTTTTCTGCCTATGAGCTCAAAGCACTAACCACTGGGCCATGCCTCCCCTCAAGATCTCACATACAAAGTTTTTATAAAACCACCAAAAAAAACTTTAAAACAAATAAAAAATAATGGAGAGTTTACATACACTGACAGGCAAAATAATACACATTTATTACAGTGCTAAGTCATGATTGCCTAAAAATGAGTTATTTTGTTATAACAATGCTACAGATCAACTTTGAGTGATATATACTTTACTGAAACATAAAGAACATTTTTTCATACAAGCTTTACTTGCACTTGTAATTACAACTCTACATTTTTAAACAGTATTTTACAACCATCATCAGGTTATGTTATGTTATATGCAAGAAGAAAATCATATTTGATGAAAAATATAACTTATTAAACCAGCACAACCATTATGACTCTTAAAAGATTACATACTATGTGGAAATAATTTCCCACCTACAGTTTACAAAAATGTAAAAACTGAAATCCTTGCAGAAATCTCTTACACAGTATTTGTTTAATTTGCTATTTGCTCACAGTGTACAAGATTAATTATTTCAAATCACACGATACACTCATTAGCACATTCATTGTACAAGAACAAATAAAAAAAAAAAGTTTTTCTTAACATTATAAATATTTCTGATTGATTATACATATAGCTGAGGAAAAGAGAAGAGGATAACACTGTAAACCCTAAACTGTCAGTTTCAAAACAAACCACATCTTCTACATCCTTATGTAAGATGTAAAAAAATTGGTAAAACATTCTAAACACATACTAATTTCCAGTTTCAAGAAAAACTATAAGATTATTTAATATAATTTAAATATCAAAAATTACATTTAGTGGTTGCTTTTTATTAAACAGTTATATTTTGGGATTTTAAAAATACATTAAACTAGATAGTTACTGATTTTTTAATTTCAAACTACTCCAGCACTATTACCCAAGTAAGAATTTAGACAGAACAAACAGTAAACTTTAAGAACAGTTACTATTGTTGGAAATATCATCAGATTCCACTGAAGACATTTTCTAAAATGCTTCCTTGCTACTTCTTAATTAGGTAATAATGATTGAATAATGTTTTTATTTCTTTCAATTATTTTCTGAAAATCACACTACTTGGCCAATAGGTGGGAGAGTTCCTGAAACAGTACTTGAGTATTTGTAAAAGTAAATTCATCTCGCGTCTTTGTGCTTACAATTTTATCATTGTATAAACAAATTCTGAAGCTGTATATATGAATACATTTAATGATCAGTCAACCAATGACTGTAATTCTTAAACAACAACAACAAAAAAAACTGTTTTATCAGAGTTTGTTTCCAGAAGTTGAGAAATCTAGTTAAATCAATCTGTGTTTCTTCATGCAGAATTCAGGAAAGTAAGAGAAGTTGTTAAAATGATCTGCATTTAAGAGCAATGCATGTTTTAAAGAATGAACGTTACAGAAAAATATTTTAAGCTAAACTGATGAGCTTTATTTTATAAAAAAGAAACTCACTTCTGTTTGTATTAATTGGCAGGCCCAAGTGTTATAGCGTGAAATTAACTGCAAGGTTAGCTTCCAGAATCGATGACAGAGTACCGCTAGATAAACATCACTTGCCCAACAACGTTGGACTGTGTTCCACAGTTGACAGGTAACGTAAAGATTAAAAACAGATTTTGCTAAGAAAAGCACAAATATCACAATTAGCGTGTATTAACATCATTAATACATATTTTTTTTTAGTATCATTAAATGAAACTATAAAACATGCTGTATACTGATTCTGCTAAAAACAAAAGATACAAAAAGTCATATAGTTGTATTTCCAAATTGTTTAATTTCAATGACATACATAGAACACATCCATCAGAAATCTGTACTTATTACATAACTCATTCAACACACCAAAAAACTGTAGACATTATATTACTACAGCATTTTCAATAGAAAGTTAATATTATATTCTTAAGATAATGAGAATAACAATAAGTTTGGTCAAAATTCAGCTGATGTAATGTTTACAACTGCTTTGCACCAATTCAATCACTTCCATTGCTATGCATCTATACACCGTAATGTGGGTGTCAACAAGTTACTTTTATAAACTTGTTAAAAAATACTTTGATAATCATGCCTCAAGCCTACAGTACAGTTTTTACTACAATTAAGATCCTCTTTCGTATTATTTCACTTTAAACAAACAAACTAATGATAAGTTATATGCTATTATATACCTTCAGTTTTCGTGAATGGTGTTAATATTGCTGTTTCCAGAACTTTTGCAATTTCCTGGAACCTGAAAGTTTCATAGCAAAATGTATGTGTCACAACATTTGCATTTTCTTTCATTATTTGGTTGATTTCTAAGATTTAGCTTCTCAACTTAAAGCTATGATATTCTTAATATTCTATATGGTAGTATGTAGTTTATCAGTTCTACAAAATAAATCTATATATAAAAGTTATAAAATTATAACTTCAAGATTTTTAAATGCATAACACCTAGCTTTCAATTCAACTCACCAAAACATATCATTCAGGACAACTATCTAGGAACTAATTTCCTTCCACCTCTTTTATTCATTGACAGCAGGTGAATAAATTAGTAAACCCATAAAACATATACAGATCAGCATATACAAAACATTTAAAATGGATTAAATAAACCTAGATGAAGTAATTATTTT